TTTTCTAGATTTTTTTAATTTAAAGTGTAATTCCTTTTTGGTTTGGGAACATACTTTATATGATTTTAACCTTTGGAAATCTGAGATTTATTTTGTGGTCCAGCACATGGTCTATCTTGGTGAATGTTCCATTTGCATGGGAAATGGGTGTGCCCTGCTGTCAATGAGTGGAGGGTTCTGTAAGTGTCAACTGGGCCAAGTGATCCATAGTGCTGTTCAGATCTTCCAGATCCTTGCTCTATCAGAGATCCTTTGTGCTACCAATTACTGAGAGCAAGGTAATAAGATTCCCTATGACAGATCTGTCTGCTTCTACCTTTAGTGTGATCAATTTTTGCTGCTTATATTTCGAAGCTCTGTTACTAGGTGCCTGTACCCTTAGGAATGTTATGTCTTTGATGAATTGGCCCTTTTTATCACTACGAAAGGTCCCTCTTTATCTCTGGCAATATTCCTTCTCTTGAAGTCTATATTAAATAATTCATAAGCTCCTTGCCAACTCTAAAAAAGGAAAAGTATGTGTGTCCCTGCAGCTGCCCTGAGTCATTTAATTAAACGATATTCATGGGTTGTTTTTTCCACTCCCTCTTGGTACATGACAGATCTCAATGTTTAGCACATCCTTTTATACAAAAACAAATAGTCTGTTTGGTTAAAACCTTCCCAGATGTGATTCCAGTTTGGCTGTTGTGAAAGCAGCTGTTTCTGTCAGCCAACTTGATGAGGCACTTTGTCTTGGGAAGAGGTGGCAATTTATCAGTTCTCATAAACCCAAATCTCTGGGCTCCCAAATACATTGCACTGGTGAGGCTAATGCTAATGCTGCCCTTTGGAAACTTCAAAAACACAGGTGACCTTCTCAGTAACAACCTCCTTCCTTACAGCTTGTCTGTCATTTTATCTACACAGAGATATGCTTGGATATGGTGGGGCCTCGGGGCTCACAGTGATGCCAGAACTTAGAGCTGCCATGCACATGGGTGGCGGGCGGGTAAAAAGAGGCTTATATGAGGTTGTGTGGTTCCTAGTTTAGAAGATGGGGAGAATGGTGTTTCCAAAGACTGGAATAGGGTCGCTGGTTGGTACCATCTTATTTCATCATCATTTCCCTCTTGTTCATCCCAGTGATAAGCATCTAGTAGAGGCTTAATACATATTTGTGGACGATTCAATAAATGAGTAAATGAAATTGAAGTCAGAATATGCTCTCAGGAAGGAAGGGAATACAGGGGTCAAACACTCCACTCCTTCAGGGACTCTATTGGTCAGGTTTCAATTGCAGCTCACAGTAGCCACCCTAGCTAGTTTAAGGAGAAGTGAATTTAAGTCAGGGAATTGGGTACGTACAGGGGCATTGGAAGGGAGGGAGGAATAAATAGTCCGTAGGCTAAGTGGAGATTCCCAAAAAACATCACAACTGCTCCGCCAAGGGAAGGCAATTGCCACTTTTGCTGTGATCAAAAAGCTGAGGATGTACCAAGTAGCTACTGGCTGGAGGTCTACACCACCGGTGTCCAGCGTTCAGGAAGCTGCTCCTAGAGCTGTTGGCTCCAGAGCCACGTTGTGCCTGCTGAAATCCGGCACAGAAAATAGGTGCTGCAAACCTCCCCACCTAGTTCTGAATTCAAGTCCCAAGCAAGTGCATCTGATTGATAAATCTGAATCCTATCAGGAGCCATTCCTGCAAGGAGCTTGGGACAGGCAGATCTTAGCTTTCCAGCCTCTGCCAGAGAGAAGGGTATCCTAGAAGTGGGTTGGAATGGATGCTGAGTGAACCCACCTACCGTCTCTACTGGCAGTCTACTCGAGTGCCAATGTGGTTAGTATAAGACAGTGGGCCTGGTACCTGAGGGAGGTTTGAAATGATTCAAGAGCATTGTGCTGGCCAGGTGAGACACATCTCAGTTACACCTGCCTCACTCTGGGACCATGAGGCTCCTGGTATGAACAAAAACTAGAGAGGCTGGAGAAGAACTCTGGGTGAATGCCCCAAGTGGGGAGGAGGGAGGAAGAAAAGCCAATAAAGCAAGCATGAAAGGAAAAGGAGCAGGGAAGAGAGAGAAACCAGGAAGATGGGAGTGGCCAACTGTATTAGTCAGGGTTCTCTTAGAGGGACAAAACTAATATGATAGATATATAGGTATATATAAAGGGGAGTTGATTAAGTATTACATGATCATAAGATCCCACAATAGGCTGTCTGCAAGCTGAGGAGCAAGGGGAGCCAGTCTGAGTCCCAAACTGAAGAACCTGGAGTCTGATGTTCAAGGGCAGGAAGCATCCAGCACGAGAGAAAGATGTAGGCTGGAAGGCTAGGCCCTTCTCTCCTTTCCATGTTTCTTTCCTGCCTGCTTTATATTCGCTGGAAGCTCATTAGATTGTGCCCACCAGATTAAGGGTGGATCTGCCTTCCCCAGTCCACTGATTCAAATGTTAATCTCTTTTGGCAACACCCACACAGGCACACCCAGGATTAATGCTTTGTATCCCTCAATCCAATCAAATTGACACTCAGTATTAAACCATCACACGACCCATCAGAGAAGAGGAGGCCCCTGTAAGACGTACAGGGGCAGCAGAGGAGAGCCACGCTGGAGGGAGTGAAACAGGCCCTTTGGCAGGACCTGGTAAAGCTGAAAATGTACACCCAGTCTCCTTTTGAGAGACTCACACACAGCCTCAGGGAGGCAGGCAGAGGCACAAGCGCCAGAGTTAGGGGGAAATTCCCACTCGGATGTCCAGTAGTCATTGTAAAGTGGTGGGTTCACATAATACTTTACAGTTAAAAGGAAATATGTGTGTGTGTGTTCAGATCATATATGTCAACACAGATTTCAAAAACGTTAGATGGGAAAAGCAAGATGACAAATGTGTCTAGAACAATGCCATTTGTGTCAATTTTGAAAACACACACATAGACGTATGAATCCTGCTCAAGGACCTGGAAGCATGTGTGTGCTCATTGCAGACTGGAAGCACCCACAGTAACCTCCTGCTCCAGGTTAACTCAGGGTGGTTGTGGGGAGTGAAATGGGATTGGTCAACATAGCTTAACAGGACTTTACCTCCATTGCTAATGCTTATTTATTTATTTACAAGTACGGAAGAAAATAGGATGTTAACAGCTCTTAATTTAAGTGGTAACAGCATGTCTTGGTTATATTCTTTTTGTACTTTGGTTGGTTGGTTGGATTTTTGCTCCCCCAAAAGCTCATATTGAAATTTGATCCCCAGTGTTGAAGGTGGGGCCTGATGGGAGGTGTTTGGGCCAGGAGGTGGATCCCTCATGAATGGCTCATGAATGGCTTAGTGCTGCCATTGAGATAATGAGTGAGTTCTCGTTCATTTCCGCAAGAGCTGGTTGTTGAAGAGTATGGTACCTCCCCTCTTGCTCTCTTGCTTCTTCTCTTGCCACGTGAGCTCTGCACATGCCCGCTTCCCTTCACCTTCCGCCATGAGTGGAAGCAGCCCGAGGCCCTTGTCAGAAGCTGAATAATAATTGCCAGTGCCATGCTTCTTGTATGGCCTGCAGAACCATGAGCCAAAGAAACCCCTGTCTTTATAAATGACCCAACCTCAGATATTCCATTATGGCAACACTAAATGGACAGAGACAAGTACTTTTCCATGCAATTTAATTTCTCACAAAATAGATTTTTTTTTGTTTTAAGAACAGAGGGTGGGTGATTCTGAAGTGGTTTTACACATTTAATGCAACTCAGTGAACATTTGTTTCTCACTGACACGGTTGGATGCTATGACTGCTGTCTAGTGGGAGAGGCAGGATTTGCCAGGGCCAAGGTTTAGACAAATTGATGGGGCTTCAAGCAGCTCATCTCTGCATTTGGAGATGCAGTCTAAAAACATCCCAGCTCTGCTGCTCTGGAGGGCAGATAAACAGATTTGGTAGACTGGCAGGGAGGTGAACAGGTACCCCCCAACCAGAGCCTGGCTTCCCCTACTCTCAGGATTAGTGGTCCCCTCCAATCCCTCCTCTGAACTTTTCCCCCTCGCCCTAAGGAGTCAGAGAGCAGTGAGAAAAGGATCCCAGAGAACAAGGCAGTTGTTCTCTCCAAGGAGAACAGGTGAACCAAAGCAGGGAAGTACAGAGTCCTCACAGGAGACAGAGCCTCGACCCTTTCTGGTGAGCCTGACCTGTCCTGGTTGCTCATCTCAGGCTATCTCCTCCACTTTCATAAACTCTGATCTCCTGGGCAGAGATTGGGAGAAATCCCATTGGATGAATGCCCATGTATACCAGGCTCTGAGGCAGGCACACACACAACAGATTCACTCTCTGCTGTCTCCCAACAAGCCTGTGGGTGACTTAGGGCTCCTTGGTTACAAGCAAGAGAGACTAACCCTGGGGAATGTAAACAAAAAGGAGTCTATCAGAAGGTTATTGGTTAGGCTCATGGAAGTGACAAGACTGGATAAATGGATCCGAAGAGGACCTGGAAGCTGGGCAGATCCCAAGTTCTAAGGAATAGCATCTCTCAGGAGTCTTGCCAGGGCCTGCCTGTCAGAATGAGGAGCATGGGTCATTCTAGGGGTATCCCTGGATCCAGTCTGATTGGCCCACCCTGTACAAGTCCCTCTGGGATTGTACACAGTGGAGAAGGTAATTCCCCAAAAGGAAATCAAGGAACTGTTAAAGAGGGAGAAGAGGTGCTAAGCAGCCAACAAAGAGCAAATGTCCACCAAACTTTAAGGATGGTTATAACCCCACCCATTTTACCGATAAGGAAACTGAGTCCCAGAGAGATTAAATAATTTTCCTAGGGCCACACACTTAGTACTGAACTGGGATTCCAGCTTCATTCCTTGGGCCCCAAAGCCCGTGCTTGTCCCACTCACCATTCCCAAATCTCCAAAGACCCGAGACGGGTGAACAGGACAAACATCACCCACAGACTCAAGGCCCCTCCTGAGTTTTATCTGTGTACACAGGTCATCTGAAAACTGCAGCTTTTCAAAATTTCAGTGCTTTCTCACCCCAGATGGAAATGAAGGCCATGACGAAGCTCAGGACTTGGTGCTGTGCTATGGGATGCTGCTCAAGTAATTGCCTTATTATAGCAAGCCCGGAGACGTAATTTCTCAAACCAGCTGGCTGGAGTACGTGCCTGGGAAGGAAGAATTAAGATGCCCTTGGAGAGACTAATCAAATAATAAATGGCAGACACACTCCTGAGAGCCCTGGTTCATGGAGAAGTAGCCCTGGAAGCTGTTAAGGACCCTGCACCCGGGACAGACAGGCCTGTGTGCATCTGCCTTTCTGCTCTCCCCTTTAGAGAGAGAGAAGGCTCCCTCTGTCCATCCTGCTGGCGAGTCGGGAGGAGAAGGGGACAGGAAGCTGAGTTCCAAATGGGGAGCATTCAGCACAGATGACATGAGCTTGTTTCTCTCCTGAAGAGCCCAGTTGATCACACCTGGGCTAAAACGTTTCCGCTACAATCCCCTGCTAATCTTTTCACCATGATAACAGCCAGTATTTCAGCTGCACTTTTCCCTCAGGAAGACTAGGAACAAACAGCAGGGGGAACAGAAAGGCAGCAAGACTCGTAGCAAGACTCTTCCATCCAAGAGTAGCCTTCTGAAGCAAGAGCAGGCAGCTTGGAACTGGCCTGAATATGTTTCAGATGAAGAGGTGGCACCAGGCTAGATATTAAGAGACACTCTCCTATTGACTAGCTCTGAGTTAAGGGCATATGTGTGTTTGGGGGTGGGGGGTGGGGTGGGCATACACCCTGCAATACACAAAGCAATCAGAACAAGCAAGAATCATCCAGCCCAACATATGCCAGGGTTTCCTACCCTCAGCACTACTGATATCTTGGACTGGTTAATTTTTTATTGTGGGGTGTCCTGTGCATTGTAGTATGTTTAGCAGCATCTGGGGCCTTCAGCTGCTAGATGCCAGGGGCACCCGACCAGATCCACCCTACCCCATCTCTCTCCAGACCCTTCTTCCTTCCCAAGCTCATTCCCCCCACACATCCCACCAACAATGTCAACAGCCTAGGTCAGAAACTGCTGGGCTGTGGCTAAATTGGGATTGCTTTGGTTTGCTGGTGTTTTAAGTTCTTTAATTGACTGGTAGAAGAACAAGTTTAATTTTCAACTTGTCCTGATAATTTCAAAACTTAGAAAACACAGATTTCCCTGGCCAACTCCAGGGTCCCTTGTCCCCAGAGCAACCTCTAGTCCTACTCACACCCACTCCCCTGACTGATGGGACCAGCCCAGCCTTCTAGGTGTTTGTGCCCGTGGTCTGTGCAGATGCTGTACCTGAAACCTTGAGCCCTAGGCCCCCCTGTGAATACTCTCTCCTGACCCAAGGTGACCCTGAGACCAAGGATTCCATAGTATTGTTTCCAATCCTTCTTTCCTATAATGAGGCCTTTCACTGTGGAGCACCTCACAGCGTACAAGGCTCTCTCACAATGTCATGGTCATCCTTTTCGTCTTTGCAACAGCCCTGGAAGATGGAGGCATAGGTACAATGTCCCCCAGACTATAGGAGGGAAAACTGATTCACTTTACCCAAATGACCCAACTTACTGATGGAGGAGCTGGTTGGAGCCCAAGGCTCTGGTCTAGGGTTTGCTCCTATTATAGGAAATTACAGTAGAATCCTTCAGATTCATATATTGAAGCCCTAACCCCCAGCGTGGTCATATTTGGAGATGGCACCTCTAAGGGAGTAATTAAAATAAAAGCATAAGGGTAGGGCCCTCATCTGATGGGATTTGTTTTAAGAAAAGACACCAAGAGCTCCAAATTTCTGTCTCACTCACTCAGCGCACACACAGACACACACACACTGAGGAAATGTTCTATGAGCACCCAGTAAGAAGGCAGCTATCTGCAAGCCGGAAAATGAGCCCTCACTGGAAACCTTGATCTTGGACCTCCAGACTCCAGAACTGTGAGAAAATAAACACCTGTTGTTCAAGCTCCCCAGCCTGTGGTAGGCAGCACTAACACCTCTCAGCAGGGGCCACCTTTGCACAGCGATCCCCTGAGGACTGTGCCCCAGGGCTGAGAAGCTGGTTGGTGAGTGAGCAGCAACACCAGCGCCAGGCACCCACTCTGCCTCTGCTCACTCTGCTTCAGCTGCTCAAGGGCCCTGCTGCTCCCCAATCGGCAAAATCCAGCCTCAGGACTTTGCCGGGCTCTTCCCTCCACCTGGAGCTCCCAGGTCTCTATTCTGTTTCTGCTTGCTTCCTCCCACTCAGCTCCTCTGCTTTCTTTCCCTTAGAGTACTAGTCTCTATGTTGCATTATATCATGAAGTCACTTGCCTGCTGTCTGCCTCTCCTACTCGAATCTAAGCTCATAAGCAAGGTCGTCTGTCTGGTTTATCTCTGTGTCCACAACAGAGTCTAGCACATAGTGGACACTTAATAGCAATCTTGTTTTTTTTCAGACTGCTATAATAAAATACCAGAAACTGGGCAGCTTATAAATAATAAGTTTATTTCTCACAGCTCTAGAGACTAGGAAGCTCAAGATCAAGCTGCCCACAGATTCAGTGTCTGGGGAGGGCCGACTTTCTGGGTGAGAGATGGCACCTTCTCTGTGTCCTCACATGGTGGAAGGAGCAAGCAAGCTCTTTGATCAGGGCATTAATGCCATTCATGAGGGCTCCACCCTTATGAGCTAATCACCTCCCAAAGGTCCCACCTGTACATGCCATCACCTTGGGAGTTAGGCTTTCAACATTTGAATTTTAGGGCTACAGAAACATGCAGATAATAGCAATAGTCTAATTGCTGAATTCAGCTTATGTACTTGATGTATTAAAAGAAAATTGAGCCATTATGGTTTTTTGGTTTTTGTTTCTGTTTTGAGACAGCCTCACTCTGTCACCCAGGCTGGAGTACAGTGGCATGATCTCAGCTCACTGCAACTGTTGCCTCCTGGGTTTCACGACTCAGCCTGGGAGTCGCTGGGACTACAGGTGCGCATCACCATGCCCAGCTAATTTTTGTATTTTTAGTAGAGATGGGGTTTTGTCATGTTGACTAGGCTGGTCTCAAACTCCTGGCCTCAAGTGATCCACCCACCTCAGCCTCCCAAAGTCCTGGGATTATAGGAGTGAGCCACCGCACCCGGCCATTGTTTTTATGATTATATAAGAAATGCATGCTCATAAAAAATCAGATAACACATCAACTTACAAAGAAGGAAATAATTCTGACTCCAATCTCGTCCACCCTCTCTACCATCTCACACATATCAAAGCACTTGTTAAAATATTTATGGTCTTCCTTCTCTTAGATCTTTTTCTAATACTAAAATACTTAATATATACTGGGGTCCTTTGCCCCTCAGATCCAGATGTGACTGGTAAGACTGCTAATTCATAGCCCACTACAGTCCCCAGTTCCTGCTGGTTCCTAGGGGCCTCCTCTGCTCCCTGGTCCCCTCAGTTGTGGACCCTGCGCCCCATGTGCTGTGCCTGCTTCTCCCCCTAATTCCCCATGCATAGAATTCAGCTGTCTTGCCACTGTCTCTCAGGCATTTTGACTTTCCTGAATACATGGGGGTCCTATTGCCAATGTTGTGGTCACTCCTGCCTGACTCCTAGACTGCACTGGCATCTCCAAGCCAGCCCACTCCCCATCAGGCAAAGAGAGCTGATGCTTCCAGCTTCACCCTCAACCTGGTGCTCCCTGCAGGGATCAGCAGCACACAGCAGGCCCCATCTGACCAGAGCCACCCTTCTGAAAACACAGTTGTTATAAAAAGCAACAACGACAAATCTGTTACATATATATACACCTTTTTACCCAAACAAGATCATACTCTGTTATGGACCAAACTGTCCTTTCCCCCTTCCCTTTCAAATTCATACGTTGAAGCCAGTACCCCCAATGTGACTGCATTTGGAGATAGGACTTTTATGGAGGTAAGTAGAAAGACAATTCAGGTTAAATGAGGTCATAAGGTCATTGAATAGAGCCCTAATCCTGTAAAACGGGTGCCTCTATAAGAAAAGAGACACCAGCAGTCTCACTTTGCACACATGGAAAAGGCTATGTGAACACACAGCAAGAAGGTGGCTGTTTGCAAGCCAGAAAGAGAGCCCTCACCAGAAACAACCCTCTGGCACCTTGATCTTGGACTTCCCAACCTCAGAACTATGAGAAAATAAATATCTGTCTAAGCCATCCGGTCTTGGGTATATAGCAGCTGGAACGGATCTACACATACTCTACACACTATTTTATAAACTGCTTTTTCACCTAGTAGTATATGGTAGATACCTTTTGGGGTTCTTTCCTATAAGTGCTCCCTTGTTCTTTTTAACAACTACATTCAGCTTATACTACATGTTTCTGAAATTGAGCCTTTTAATGTGTGTCCAAATCAATGTGTTCTGCCTTAGAACAGAAACTTCCTGAGGGCCGGGCACAGTGGTTCTTGCCTGTAAGCCCAGAATTTTAGGAGGCGGAGGCACATGGATCACTTGAGCCAAGGAGTTCCAGACCAGCCTGGGCAACATGGCAAAACCCTGTCTCCACAAAAATTACCAAAAAATTAGCCAGGCATGATGGCATGCACCTGTAGTCCCAGCTACTTGGGAGGCTGAGGTGAGAGATTTCTTGAGCCTTAGAGGTTGAGGCTGCAGTGAGCCAAAATCACACTACTGCACTCCAGCCTGGGTGATGGAGTGAGATCCTATCTTGAGAAGAAAAGAAACTTCATGAGAGCAGCATCCTGAGAACCAGTAGGAAGGCCCAGTCTCCAAAGATCCTCCAAAGCAGAATCCACATCCCTGGCAGCTATGCAGGGATGAAGGCATTGTCATGTTCCCCCAACCCTGGGATAAGACCCCTCTCTCACAGCCCCGCCTTGCAGTGTGGTCAGGGGCTTCCTTCCCCTGAGCCTGTGCCCCCTCCCAGAAAACTGTAGCCTCTGAGACAAGCAGGTCTGCAGCAAGACCGCTTCTCTCCCTTCCTCAACGTGCAACTCGTTCTCGAGTTGCTGCCATAGGAACTTTTCTAGGCAGATGTTAGTGCCTCATAAATGTAATTAGTGATAATGGCCCTGAGTCAGCCAGGAGGTCTGTTTTTTCAGCTGGTTTTTCAAATTAGGACAGAGAAAACATTTTCACTGCCACCCAGGCTGGCTGAGTGCTGTCCACGTTGCCACCTTCCTGCCTGGCCCAGCCCTTTCAGAAATAGAAAAATCCCACTTCCAATTAGAGGACGAGAAAGGCACAGCTCCAATCACTAGAGCTGTTGACAAAAATCAGCCAAATGCTGAGGCAGGTCTGCCGACCTGTTCAGACCACGTGCTTTCACAGTGCTGGTGCTTGTACCTGGCCCTGGCTGGGTACAAGAAACCTACAGGGCTCTCTACAAAATGAGGGGGTTTTGGAGACAGGCGGGCAGGGCTGTTTGAAAAACCTTGAGACAGATCATCTGCCACCCTGCTGGGCAACCCTCCCCTGACCCCGACAGAGTCCCTCATCCTTCTTGCAGCTGCCCCAACCACTTTCCAACTGGAGATTGATGACCTGCCTCTGTTTCTTCCTCCCTGTAGTTCTTGGGGGTAGGCAGCTGGACCTCTTCTCCTCAGCTCTTCTTCCCTTCCCCAGGGACGCTCCTCTAAGATCTCCTATTCCTCCCCATCCCAAAGACAATGACAATGACAAAGAATCACGGAACAGCGGGGCTTCATCAGACGGCATCCTTTCTGTGGACCATCTCACCGAATGCTCAGTTTATCTCCGAGTGGTAGGTCCTAATGCTATGCCGGCTCCACAATGGGAAAAGCAAGATGTCCCAGGGTAGGGATGGGAGAACATGACAGTACCTCAATTTCTTTGCCTGCAGAACTGTCAGGGATGTGGGTTCTGCCTCACAGGACTAGAGTGGGAACGTGTGGAACCTGCAGCTGCAGCTGGACATTCCTCTGGTACCACCTGCATCTGATGTTTTGATTGGGTCAATGGTCATGGCAGGGAGGAGTCCCCACCCATGCTGTAAACCCTCAGAGGCACAGCAGCATCAGCTAGCCTTGTCTGGTACAGGTCTTTGTGCATCCCTTGAGGCCTCATGCCAAGACGGAGTGCCCACCAGAAAGGTTCCCAGCCTCCCACAGCTGGGCTGGGATCATGCCTGCCCCTGCTCACCCCTGAGGCTACTGGGAGCCCTCAGCTAAATCTCCTCAGCAGGAGCTCTCCAACCCTGCAGGCCTGAGTTCAGCCCCATACCCCAGCAGTTGCTCCATCTTCAAAATCCCCCGCAGAAGGTTCCTGGTCATTTCCACTCCAATTTCCCTGGCTTTGTTTAGCCCTTGACACCTGTCCTGTCCAGCCTGTTCCCCACTGGGAGACCAGAGCAAGGGAGGAAAGGTCATATGGGAAAGACCCCTGGGGACAGAGTCCATCCCTGAATCAGAAGGCGGGGGCCAGGTCAGGGCTTTCTTCCTCCACTGACTCACCTCTTGGGGTTCAGTGGCGTCATCTGTGCAATGAACATGAAAGTCTCCAGCCCACCTAAAGGCAGAAGCTTAGGCAGATGAACTTCTGAAGGCATGTCCTACCCTCAAGCTCTGTAATAGAGAGGTCTAATAGGTCACAAGTAGCGCTGGGGATCTACAGGTGCTCGGGAAGGCTGCAGAGCTAATCTTCCTCCTGGTTTCTGGGGCAGGGTTTGAGTCTCACCAGTCAGTTACTGCAAATGGGCTCTGGGATAGGCATTTCTTCCCCATACCCCTTCCCTTCTCTTTCCCTCCCCGCTGCAGGATACTTCCTGCCCCTGCTAAGGTGGCTTCCCCCAGGACAAGGTAGGGACAGTCCAGCCCTGCAGGAGTGTGTGCTTGTTCTCCAGGTGAGGGCTGAGTTGCTCAGCTGCTGCCTTCACTGCAGCTTTGATGATGTTGCTGCTACCTTGGTTCCAACACAATGGTCATTCGTGGCTGCAGGAGGATTGCCCCTTTCCAGAATAAAGTGGCAGATGGCTGGCAGGCACAGGCATCTGTTCTCTGGCCTCTAAAGGCCTCTGTGAACTTAAGATTAATAAGTAACCTTTGCTGCCACTGCCAAGAGGAAGGGAGATGGGACCAGGCAAGCCTCAGAGGGAGACAGTCCATGGCACTAGGGTTGCGGGGAAATTGAGGGTGCTGACTCCAAACTCCTCAGGCGCTGCCTTCAGCCTGGGCACCTTCTGGGCTGTCAGCTGGGCAATCCCACCACCAGGAAGGTGAGCTGGGGGCATCAGGGGCTGCTGAGCCATGGGCCTGGGTCTGCCTCAGTTGGCACCACAGGGTCTACAGCATCTCTCTGGACTGATGGCCTAGGCTGTGCAACCTCAGGCAACGTGCTTAACTTCTCTGAGCCTCACGTTTCCCAAATGTCAAATGTACCATTTGGATACAAAGATCTAGTTTTCAAATACTTTTAGCAGCAGATCCTCCAAATGTACAGGAGGTGACGGCAGAGCCTGATGAATTTGGGAGGTTCTGGGATGGTTGGGGCCTCACCCAAAGACCTACCTATGTAGTCAAGCTCCCCGCCAAGGGCTGGCTGAATTGAAATATCTTACAGGTAAACTTTCACGTAAATATCTTACATGAAAAGTTAGCATAAACTCAAATTCTCAGATGAATTGCTGGCAATTGACTTTCTGCTAGTAAAATTTCTTAAGCATGAATTTCCCTTTAATAACCTACTAAATATCGTGCTTCCCAAATCAAACAGGAAATCTGGTTACATAGACAAAATGGTCATTTGGCAAAGTAATTGGTGAGTTTTGTTAGAATGCAGAAATGTGGTCTCCACCCCAGACCCACTGAATCAGGCCCTGCATTTTTACAGGATCCCCAGAGATCCCTACTGTCCTTCAAGTTTGAGAAGTGCTAAGTTAAAGCAATCGTATTTGCATCACCCCAGGAGCGCTTGAGAAATGGTCAGCATTCAGGCCCCCACTCCAGGGGGTTCTCTGTTGGCCTGGGGTGAGCTCCATTCAGGTGCCCAGGTGTTGTGAAATTCCCCAGGTAATGTCAGTGTGGATGCAGGGCCTGACTGCTGGTAGGGCCAGCAGCCACGCTTGTCTAAATGTCTTCATCTTCTCCCTCTTCTTTCATTCCCTTGGGGGCCTTGAATCTCTAAGCTCTGGCAGATGCTCTCACTGGAGCCTGATTTCTGTCACCTAAAGCTGACAGTCACAACAAGCTGACAGCCAGGGAGATGCATCCCTTTCAAAGCAACTGAGTGGCGTGTCAGTTCACACTTTGCATGGGGCTAACTACTGGGAGGGTAACAGTTGCAGAAGCGACCCAGGGGGGACAGAGGCAGGGCCACCCTTCACTGACCACTTACTTCTTGGACCATCTCAGGGCAACTGGTCTGAGCAGGAGAGCCCTGTCCCAGCAGAGATCACAGGGCAGCCGGGGCAAGAGGGAGGCTGCTGGGGCTAGAAGAAGGGGCTGTGATGAGGACCAGGGGAAAGAGTAGGAGCTTAGAGCCTCCATCCCACCAGCTGGGACTCAAAGCCATGATTCTGAATGCCCTTCAAGACCTGCTTCTCAAGCTCCAGCCTACATCAGAATTACCTGGGGGCTTTTTAAAATACAGACTACATGGTTGCCGCTGTCGGTGCAGGGGAAACCCCGTCTCCGAACTTCCCCGGATGAATTGCTCCTGAAAGGCAAAGCGGTGAAGACTGAGGAGGAGCTGGAGGAGGATGACGACGAGGGGCTAGAGGAGTCCCCGTCGGAGAGACTATGGGGCCTGATGGGGATGTTTCCAGAGAGGGTCAGGTCTGTGACTGGAGCCACTTTTGGTCTCTTCCTCTTTGTGGCTCAAAAAATGTACAGGTTTTCGAGGGTAGCCTTGTGGACTGGGACCACTTCCTTTATGATCCTGGTTCTTCCTGTTGTCTTTGAGACTGAGAAGTTGCAAACGGAGCAAGAGCAGCAACTGCAGCAGCGGCGGATACTTCTAGGGCCTAACACAGGGCTCTCAGGAGGAATGCCAGGGGCTCTACCTTCACTTCCTGGAAAGATCTAGATTGTTACTACTGTTTGAGCTGTCTCGGTGGGAGAAGTTTGAAATTCAGTAGTGTTTGAACTGCTGATTATTTGGATTTTTTTCTTTAACTTTGACACATTGATCTATCTAAACCTGGTGGGGAGAATTTTCCCCACATTGTCTCATGGAAAGACTCAGCTTGCAACTGTGCCCTCCACACTGTCCTGACTGACTTCTTCCTTCACTCTGATACCACAGTGCAGCCATGTAGACGGTTATTCCAGCTGTAGCCACTCCTTTCACCAAATTGTTCCTAACTGGAAGATCTCACTTTCCCCTTGTGGGGTAGGAACCGATGCCAGTGGGAAGGATGTGCCCCTGACCATGAACGGCTGCTTTTCTGTTTGTTTATTTTTAGAATGGAGCTGTTGGGGAGGGACAGGCCCTCAGTGTGAAACAGACAAAATGCATTACACCTGTAATGGAAAGTGGCCACTATGAATCCCTATGTGTAAGAGGAGGGAGGCTGGCTGCAGCTTCAGCCGCGGAATGGAGACTGTGGAGGACAGATCAGAAGCTCATTTCCTCTGCACATTTTGGCTGTTTGACCTGTGTGTGTGTTTATAAACACCGAAGTCAGTGCTTGCTTTTTGTATTTCAATATTAAAAATGATTCTAACTGAAAAATAGACAGCTGCCCCCACACCCAGAGCTTCTCGTTCGGTTGTTCTGGGGAGGGGCCCCAACATTTGCATTTTTAATTAGTTCTGAGATGACGATGATGTTGCTGGTCTGCGGACCACACTTTAAGAACCACTGCCTTTGAGACTACAGCCCCTCAACCAGAGACTCTCTAGTATATTGGTTAACGGAGCCAGCTCAGAAATCGGCCAGATCTGGGTGTGAAGCCTAGTACTTCTACTCCTTAGCTGTGTGACCTAGGGCAAGTTACTTAACCTCTCTGTGTGCCTATGTGTGTCATCTGCCAAGTGATGCTAGAGACAGTAGCTATGCCTTAGAGTTGTGGTATGGAGTAAGTGAGGGAATGCCTACAAGGGTCCTGAAGCATAGGCAAAACCTTTTGTGCTCATTCACTGAGCTGTGGTCAGCACTAGCCTGGAGTATGCCCATGGGCCTGGCCCCTTCCAGGATTCAAGCGCACTTTACCAAATTATTCCTTTTAGTAAAACACACACGTACACACAAAACACTTTAAGAGCAGATACTAGTAATACCTCCATTTTACAGATAAGAAAAGCTGCTCAGAGTGGCTGAATAGCTTGCCCAAGGTCACACAGCCTGGAAATGTGATAGGGCCTGAATTTGAACCGTAGCTACTGGCTCAATTACCATCTTACCGTTTCGTTCATAGCCACTGAACTGATACGACCTCAGCCTTACTGGGCACAAACAGTTTATGTGCAACAGGGCCTTAAAATAAGAATGTAAAAGTTCAAATCAAAATGAAGCCACTTTTTAAAATACATATATAAAAACAGAAAACCCTGACAGATAGAGCTGGGGATGACTATAAAGAGAAGAGTTCTCGTGCATAAATGCCCAATAACAAAAACTGCAACCCTGCACAAAGGCCATCACAACCTTACACAGAAAATGCTCCTGCCAGGACATCTGTGCAGCGGTGTCTGCCCAACCTCAGACTGCTGTCACCCTTGTTATTGATCCTTATAGCCAAGAATAATCTCAATTATGTAATCCTTCTCATTGTATTAGTAATAGCAAAAAACACAATTCCTTTTGCCCCAGCCTAATACCTTTAAAATCCTTTGTCTTGCCTCCCTGACTATGTACAGTTTACTGTGGCATATGTATTCCCATTGCAATGCCCTACTCCTAAATAAATACCATTTACTTTTAGAAAGTCTCTCTGTTATTTCCATTTGACAAATAGTTTAGAGTCTCCTGGAGTATGGGAACCTCCAGTTGCATAATGTGGTTAATGCAACTGGGAATTTAGTTCCTCAGTTGCATGAAGCACATATCAAGACCTCAATAGCCACGTGTGGCCAGTATTGGATGGTACAGATCTAGAACATTCCCATCTCCACATCAACTTCTATTAGACAGTACAGCTCCAGAGACTTGATCCAATTCTCTCTACTTTTCTGCATTTTTAATTTTTTCCATGATCAGGAAGAAGGCAGAGCGGATTAAATGCAGCAAGCATAATATCTCCTAAACATGGAAAAGGTGCTCAGCCTCAGTGTTAGAGAAATGCGAATTAATGGTACTGAGATACCATAGTTTGCCTACATGGATTAGGAATAACTTGAAAGGTTTTTCTTTTCATTGTTTAAAAAGTAAGAATGAATAAAATTATTTATTCTTTAGCATAGCAAGGGTACCACCTTATTCTTTTATGTCAATAGGTTTTTGGGGAACAGGTGGTGTTTGGTTACATGGATAAGTTATTTAGTGGGGATTTCTGAGATTTTGGTGCACCCATCACCCAAGCAGTTTACACTATACCCAGCATGTAGTCTTTTATCCCTCACCCCCTCCCACTCTTTCCCCTGAGTTGCCAAAGTCCACGGTGTCATTCTTATGCCTTTGAGTCCTCATAGCTTAGCTCCCACTTATGAGTGAGAACATACAATATTTGGTTTTCCATTCCTGAGTTATTTCACTTAGAATAATGGTCTCCATTTCCAATCAGGTTGCTGCAAATGTCACTTAATTTTTTTTTTTTTTTTTTTTTTTTTTTTTTTTTTTTTAGATGGAGCCTCGCTCTGTCACCCAGGCTGGAGCGCAGTGGCGCGATCTTGGCTCACTGCAAGCTCCACCTCCCAGGTTCATGCCATTCTCCTGCCTCAGCCTCCCAGTAGCTGGAACTACAGGCGCCCGCCACCATGCCTGGCTAATTTTTTGTATTTTTTTAGTAGAGATGGGGTTTCACAGTGTTAACCAGGATGGTCTCGATCTCGTGACCTCGTGATCCGCCCAGTACTTTGGGAGACCTCGAGGCCTCCCAAAGTACTGGGATTACAGGCATGAGCCATAGCGCCCGGTCATTTCATTCCTTTTTATGGCTGAGTAGTATTTCATGAGTAGTATTTATGGCTGAGTAGATCTATATATATCTCACATTTTATCCACTCATTGATGGGCGTTTGGACTGGTTCCATATTTTTGCAAGCGTGAATTATGCTACTATAAACATGCATATGCAAGTATCTTTTTTCATATAATGACTTTTCCTCTGTGTAGATATCCAGGAGTGGGATTACTGGATCAAATGATAGATGTACATTCAGTTCTTTAAGGAAGCTCCACACTGTTTTCCATAGTGGTTACACTAGTTTACATTCCCACCAAGAGTGTAAAAGTGTTCCTTTTCACCACATCTATGTCAACATCTATTTTTTTGTTTGTTTTTTAATTGCCATTCTTGCAGGAGTAAGGTAGTATCATATTGTGGTTTTGATTTACATTTCCCTGATCATTAGTGATGTTGAGCGTTTTTTCATGTTTGTTGGCCATTTGTATATCTTCTTTTGAGAACTGTCTATTCATGTCCTTAGCCCACTTTTTGATGGGATTTTTTTTTTTTCCTTGCTGATTTGAGTCCCTGTAGATTCTGAGTATTAGTCCTTTGTTGGAAGTATACATTGTGAAGATTTTCTCCCACTCTGTGGGTTGTTTGTTTACTCTGTTGATTCTTTCTTTTGCTGTGCAGAAGTTTTTAGTTTAATTAAGTCCCATCTATTTATCTTTGGTTTTGTTGTATTTGCTTTTGGGTTCTTGGTCATGAAGTCTTTGCCTAAGTCAATGTCTAGAAGGGTTTTTCTGATGTTTTAGAATTTTTATGGTTTCAGGTCTTAGATTTAAGTCTTTGATCCATCTTCAGTTGCTTTTTGCATAAGGTAAGAGATGAGGATCCAGTTTCATTCTTCTACATGTGGTGTGCCAATTATCCCAGCACCATTTGTGGAATACGGTGTGTTTTCCCCCACTTTGTTTTTGTTTGCTTGGTTGAAGATTAGTTGACTGTAAGTATTTAGCTTTATAACTGGGTTCTCTATTCTGTTCCATTGGCTTCTATGCCCATTTTTATACCAGTACCATGCTGTTTTGGTGATTATGGCCTTATAGTATAGTTTGAAGTCGGGTAATGTGATACCTCCAGATGTGTTCTTTTTGCTTAGTCTTGCTTTGACTATGTGGACTCTTTTTTGGTTGTGTATGCATTTTAGGATTGTTTTCTCTAGTTCTGTGAAGAATGACGGTGCTATTTTGAGGAGAATTTGCATTGAATTTGTAGAATGTTTTTTGGCAGTATGGTCATTTTCACAATACTAATTCTACCCATTCATGAGCATAGGATGTGTTTCCATTTGTTTGTGTAACAACATCATGTGTCGATTTCTTTCAGCAATGTTTTGTAGTTTTCCCTATAGAGGTCCTTTACCTACTTGATTAAGTATATTTCTAGATATTTTATTTTCTTGCAGCTATTGTAAAAAGGGTTGAGTTCTTGATTTGATTCTCAGCTCGGTCACTGTTGGTATAAAGCACAGTTACTGATTTGTGTATATTAATTTTGTATTCTGAAACTTTGCAGAATTCATTTACCAGTTTTAGGAGCTTTCTGGATGAGTCTTTAGATTTTCTAGATATACAATCATGTCATCAGCAAACAGCAACAGTTTGACTTTGTCTTTACCCACTTGGATGCCCTTTCTTTCTCTTGTCTGTTTGTTCTGGCTAGGACTTTCAGTACTATGTTCAATAGAAGTGGTGAAAGTGGGCGTCCTTGTCTTCTTCCAGTTCTCAGTGGGAATGCTTTCAACTTTTCTTTATTCAGTATTATGTTTGTTGTGGGTTTGTCATAGATGGCTTTTATTACCTTAAGCTATGTCCTTTTTATGCTAATTTTGCTGAGGGTTTCAATCATAAAGGGATGTTGGATTTTGTCAAATGCTTTTTCTGCATCTATTGAGATCATGTGATTTTTCTTTTTAATTTTGTTTACATAGTGTGTCACATTTATTGACGTGCAAATGTTAAATCATCCCCGTACCCCTGGTATGAAACCCACTTGATCATGGTGGATTATCCTTTTGATATGCTGTTGAAGTTGGTTAACTAGTATTTTGTTGATGATTTTTGCATCTGTGATACAGGTATTAGTCTGTAG